ATCAGTTGTCGATCACTGACTTTATTAATTTGAGGATTTCAAAGTCAAAATAAAAATGATTTATTTCAATTAGACCAGAAAAGCACTTTTGAAAGTCAACAAAAAAATAAAAGTGAAGCTATTTGCTCATTCCAAAGTGTAGATTCCTATGGAGAAGAACGAGCAAGACACTCCATAGGTTACTCTTTTTCAATCAGGTTCACAATACAAATCTCTAGTTACATAGTTTTATGGTTTGGATTGTGCGAGAACAATGCAACACTAAAATACAGTCAAGTCTGGAGCAGCTGGAGCTGACCAGTCCCAGTTGACGGCGGCCGTTCACGAACATGACACGTACACCAGCACCGCCCAACTCAACCATATTGTAGGGAATCGACCGATCCACTGCACGCGCCACCGCCAATGAGACCTTTGAGTGAGCATGACAACTCCAAGCTGACACAAACGTATTCTACTAGTCTAATTTAATATTTAGTTATTTAGTATTTGAGCATAATATTGACTTAAAACACCATTTTTCTTGACATAAACGAAAAATGTGTCAATTAATTGACATAGCTAGAAGCTACATAATCTGCTACCAAACAATTTACCCTTTTACTAGAAACAATGCAAAATTATTTGCGACTGAAACAAGTAGAAACGTGATTAAAACAATCAACAAGAATGTGCCTCATACGACCACTCCCTGTAACTGAGACTAATCTAACATCTAAACCTTCAATTAACCTAAACAGTGACTAAACAAAGACATTTCTAAAATGCCTATAGCCTGATCTATTGAATTAGGTAACAACAGCTTTTTAGTTAAAGAACTTCGAGTTAGGATGACATGTCTGATAGAAGAAGAAGAATTGATAAGAAGACCCCAAGTACCTTAGGATACAGGCAGGCAGATGATTGTTGATTTTGCGCATGTTGCTTCTGAGATTTAAAAATGATAACTTTTTTATGGGATAAGCCGGCAAACGAGCAGACAGATCACCTGATAGTAAGCAATCGGTGTCGTCCATGGACACCCGGAAGACCAGAGGCGTTACAAGTGCGTTACCAGCCTCTTGGGTATTAGCAATTTGAGGATCGTTGGGGGTTCAGGGATTGGGAAGATTAGCGAGGGTAGATAATCGGATCTCCTACTTCTACTACTTCATATCTGAAGGTATTCAAGGTGATTTTGTGCCTCCTGGACCCCTTTCAGCATGTCTGTTTAGCACAAACTGGTTAAAATTTACTTTAGAACGTAATAAGTGCAAATGCGTAAGACTAGTATTTTCTAGAACCATTAGGTAGACCTTCATAGGTAAATAAGCAAACCCAAATCAGGTTTGAAATAATTGGAACAAAACAAGTCCCTATAAAACTAAAATTAGTGCAGTCCCTAAAAACCACGACTTTTCGGGGCTTAAAAATGGATGATCTTCCTTTACTTACATGTTTTCAATTCCTTAAATAATTCATCTTTGGTCAAATTGTTGTGTGGTGTCACTTCAAAACCATAATTGGAAAATGTTCTAGTCAAAGCCTCAACATCTTTTTCAGTCCCAAGCCGAGGTAGATGTCCATCGATTTCCTTTTGATTAAAAATAATCATTGCATGTTTATTAAAAGTCTCTAATTCATACGTTGTAGCTTCTTTCGGTAAAGCTCTTGTGTTGATCCGCGTATATTTCTTTTCTTCATTCTCAAAAATAGATTCTTCTTCAAATTTTAATTTGTCTACATTACTTTCTAGTATTTCTACATCTTCGTTATTTATGAATTTTACTTTTTCAGGCGCCGTTTCGTATTCCGGCGGCACAGACATCATGGCGTCAGTGGATATTCGGTTTTCATTGAGATCAACTGATTCATCGACATTTGCACGGTAAATCACGGACTTGTTAGAATCATCTTCTGTTTCATCCGGCCCGCTGCCATTTTCATCAGTCATGATTGGGTCTTCTACCGATTCCAAAGTCTCTGATTCACTTTTATTATCTCCGTTGTTGTCTTTCGTCTTTTTCCCTGATTTGCCTTTCTTCTTCTTTTTCCCTTTACCTTTTCGTGACATAAAGTATATTCCAGGGTAACTCTGGTAGTATTCGGTTTCGTTCTCCATTTTTTGTGTTTAAAACAGAAGTTTCGAGAGGACCACCCGTGAATTTCTTCACTCATACATTAGCACTGATATTTTTCACTCGTTTCACGTCCACTACCTATCAATTTCGATACATTTGACAATTTATTTTGCAATATCGTTAGTTATCTGTTCTGTTCTATTATAATAATTTAATCTTATCATTCCGATAGTGCAGCCATCGACATCGGGGACTTATACGGTGACATCATACACCATATTTCGTGTCATACAACATTATATCTTGCGTAATGGTCTTAGAAGCGGCTGTAAAGCGGTTAAGGAAAAAAGTTTAAAAAATCCCTTTAGATATATATAAATATTACCAATTTAAAAAGTAAATCGATCAAAACGCCTGCTAAAAAGTTGATGGCAAGGCTTATCAACCAGATTATCTTCGCATTCAAAACTGAAAAGCATCGTCATTATTATGTTGACGCAAAATAAAACAAAAGTTTCGCAATCTAACATACCTACCTTAATACAAAATAATGATAAGCTAAATAATTTGCATATTATCTATTCAAAAATCTATGCATTGGACCGATTAAAAATGGGGCCTCCTGAGTTAACTGTCATAAATGTGGTAAATAGGTAGGAACATTGCGTACCTACATACACAGATCTACATATTCTTTTTTTTTTTTGACGGAGGAATTTTATGTATGTCTTATAATGACTTCTCCCGCTTGGGTGAGGTGAGAGGGAGAGTCAGAATCTTACTGCCTAAGAACCACCCCGTTCCTGCTTCTACTTCCAGCCAGAGCCCCACGGTAACCCGCTAAGCCGTCCGCAGTTCCGGGTCGAAGTAGATTCCAACTGGACTTTGAATCGTGAAGGTAAGTTAAGTCAAGGGCTGCCTTATTAAACTACGTAGATATATCTAGATAATTAGGTAGCCTTATCACATACGAACCACGATCGCAAGTTTTATTTCCGGATTGCACACAAGTGGCGTAATGAATTTCCTATTTATTTATTTCATCATCAACAATTCATTCTAGTCCAGAGTCCATTTAGTCTACTACTATGGGACATCCCTAATAAGAGGGTTTACGATAATCTCACGATCCGATAATAAGACTGATGACTGTTAAGGAAGCAAGAGAGATATTTTTTATGGGATAAACCGGTAAACGAGCAGACGGATCACCTGATGGTAAGCAATCGGCGCCGCCCATGGTCACCTAGAATGTCAAAAACGTTATTTGTAACATAATTATATTGTTATGGGCCTTTTGGAGATTAGGAATTTAAAGATTGTTGGGGATTCAGGGATTGGGGAGATTGGGAGAGGGGGCCCAATTACCCTCCGGTAATCGGGTACTTTCCTTAATCAAAAATAAATTATTTGGACTGTTCAATACAATACAATGTTAAATTATAGGCTACTAGCGACCCGCCCCGGCTTCGCACGGGTGCAATATGCATGTATTATACATACAAACCTTCCTTAAGAATCACTCTATCTATTAAAAAAACCGCATCAAAATCCGTTGCGTAGTTTTAAAGATCTAAGCATACATACGGACATACAGCGAAAGCGACTTTGTTTTATACTATGTATTGATTACAAGGTTTCTAGCACAACGTGATAGAAATAAAATTGCTAGATTGTAGTAGCCAATAACGGACGTTTGGGATGAGCTTATAACTGAATGGCAGTGTAGATGGGCATCTTCTATTAAGGGCCGCCACTTTTAGCAGTTCTTCCCATCCGTGCATGAGCGGCTGGAGAGGACATGGTTGGAGGTGGATCACTGTGTTGCCCAATTTCTTACTGGCCATGGCAACTTTAAAAGCTTTGTAAATAAATACTAACTATAACTAAATTAAATAGATATATACAACTTAAAATGTAAATAATTATAAACTAAACTATTTACACCTTAAAAATTATAATAAAAAATTATCTTAAGGCATCAAACAATTTTTTTATTCATCGCTATCGTGAGGTAGGATGCCCAAAAGACTGGCAGCATTGAACAGTTGAATGGCAATGCTTAATCTTTGCCCCAGGTAGTAACCAGCCCTTCGATCACCTGAAGTGTCAAACAACCTCTACAATATCTTTGTAACGAAGATGCGCCTAAAAATATAGTGAAGCAATAAAACCACTCAGAATTTATTGCTCTAACTTGTGTATAAGGCGTCATACAATAATGCAATCGAAGTAATCAAATTATATAGAGATACTTTACATACCTATTTAATTATACAAGTAATTTGAATATTTAAACAGAATCAGATATTTTAAGTGCCCTAATAACCATATTTTCTTTATCTTAGCTTTAGGCGGTTACCTAACTTATGATTGGCTATATGACTATAATACCTAATATTACTAAGAAACGTAACGCAAAATGGAGTCTTTTATTTTTAATTCTAGTTTAGTTTGTAAGATACCTTAATGCTGACTATTGGTGAGAACTACTATACGATTTTCGTAATTTTTACCATTCTCGTTTTGAACTCTATGCTGAAGGCCTACTTGGGAAACATTTTTGTGTATACTTTATCTAACTTATCGATAATAAAAACAATTAAACTTGTGTGACTTGTATCGGTGCTTGAAGGTCACAAACTTAATTTCGGAACTTTGTATTATGTATCGAATGATTCAATAACATCATACTTCCAAAATAAGTGCTTGTAAGATAAAACAAGTCGAGATTCGAGAACACTACTGTGCTAGCTTGGATTTTATTAATAATCAACTTATTGCACTGGTGTTGTAAGCTGCGACAGTTTGAATCGTATTTTCTCGGAAGCTAAACTGAGTTTTTTTGTATTAGTTTTCAAGGCTAGCAATTTTCGCGTTCTGAAGAACTGTCATCGGTCACGCCTTGCTACATCTGTCAAACCAATGTCAAAACGGTAATCAAAATCAAACCGCGACAGTGTCGTGATCGGAAACTCGTTTATTTTTTTAATTTTTAATTATAAATAGACCTAAAATGCATTACGTAAAGTGCAAAAACTTGATCTATAATAATTAACACGTTTTTAATTTAGTATTTTATTCGTGTAGAATAAGTTTAAACAGTGAAAATGTTCAATTACAAGTACCTCAGCCGCGAACACCTTGAAGGGTTCGATAATTATAAGGTATGCGTGTTTCTATTTATTGAATTAGTGTTTTCCGTGTATAAATAGTGTTGCATTATATTGCAGGATTGTGAAATAAGGTTTTACTTACGATTCTAGAGGTGTAATTTAATAATATAACCTTAAAGATATTGATTTTTTTTACGCAGCGCATATCCAGGAAGTTGTCGGTGTTATTGCCGCATTATGTTGATGGCTTAAACTTAAGTCGTATTAGTTATTTATGTTCTATTAATTTATGCGTTTGGCATCATTGTTTCTGGTCAATATGCTGTACACGAAACGATTTTATTCATGCGAAACAAACACAATACGCGCTCTAGTTTCGTGTTTACGTAGCTAAAAAAAAAAGTAAACGATTCATTTCTAAGAAGTTTTAACTAGAATATTTGTGATGCTTTCTTGCGTAGAAAGTGCAAGTCATATTTATAATTACAAAATTATTATTATCATTCTTAATTTCAATTTCTTATCAGTTTTTAATTTGATTGTGAAGTACGAAATTAATTACTGTATTTCATTGCAAATTATTAAATACTTATTTTGTACCTATGCATGAACATATAAAAAAAAACTATACTTTCATTTTAAATTTAAAAAAATATTGTACCCATAACATTCCTTCAAACTTGACATAATTTCTTTACATAACATTTGGCACACATAGATAACATAAAGTAATACAACAGTGCCAAAAGAGGTCAGTTTTACTTTTTTTTTAAATTCACGACATTTGGCAATGTTTATCTGATTGGCTTATTAGGCCATTCTCATTTATTATTGGAACATAAAAACTAGTTTTGTGTAAAATGCCAATCTTTTTGTATTGTCCTTGAACTATTAATAAACATTCCAATATATGTATTGAACATATTTCCTGGTGGTGTTCTTTGTTTTTAATACAAATTAAGTATATATTTTTTTTAATTCACAGAGTTTAACTTAATTAGTCTTATTGGATATTTTGTTTAATTTATGAATTAAATGACAACATAGCTATTTTTGCAATTTCCTTGTCTCTTTGTTTAGTTTACATAATACATAATATGTAATTTGTAGTTCTTGTAACTAAGAATTAAACATATAAACTAAATAAAAGTATGATTAAAATGTAATTAGAAACAAAAATATTTACACCATATAATTATGATAACAATATAAAAAGTAACATAAGGCTTCGAAAAAGTTATCCTCATCATTATCGTGAGGTAGGGTGCCCAAAAGACTGTCAGCATTACCAAGTTGAATGGCAATGCTGAACCTTTGACCAAGCTAGTAGATAGCTCTTCGATCACCTGAAGTATTAATCGTCCTACTAACCATAAATAGTTTTGAATAAAACCTTTTATTACCCAACTTAAAAAAGGAGGTTCACGGTTTGACCCTATGTATGTATGTTTGTGCGCGATTATCTCGCGATTGTCTGTACCGATTTGGATGTGGTTATCAAAAAAGTTTTTGTTTTCAAGAAAGTTTTAGTACATTAATTAACTGACTTTAAAAAAGAGGGGGTGAAGTTGGTTTTATTAAACATCACTACATAGTATAAAACAAAGTCGCTATCCGCCGTCTGTCTGTCCCTATGTATGCATAGGTCTTTAAAACTACACAACAGATTTTGATGCGATTTTTTTTAATAGATAGTGATTGTTCCGAAAGGTTTATATGTATAATACATGCATATTCTACCCGTGCGAAGCCGGGAGGGTCGCTAGTAGTTTATAAAAGAATTATTTTATTTAGTATAATAAAATTATACTCTGTGATAAAATCTCTTAACTTTAACAAAATATTTTTTTTTACAGTACATGGCCATAGACACCAGTCCTCTGAGTGTTTATGTTATGCATCCTTTTTGGAACAAAGTTGTAGAGGTAAGTGACTTATAAGTAACATCATTGCAACTGAATTTTTAATTTTTTTCCTCTACGGAGTCGGGAAGATTACTGAGTCACATCATACCACTGTTACTATATTATTATAGTATTTTTTATACATGACACATCTCCATGAAGATATAATGTAACTAGAATTTAACAAGTCAAGATCAAAATATGTCTTTTTCTTATACTTGACTGACTGCTTCGTTGACCAGGTTCGATTCCCGGGTGGGGCAAAGTATTACTGGGTTTTTCGTGAAATTCTCAGTAGTAGCACGGAATCTGGAATTGTGCCCGGTATATGACAATAGGCTCACCCCCTATTACACCCATGTATGAGTCCCAATTCATAACATAAATAGTGAAAAGTGGGTGTTACATTGTACAGTGGCATTAAGTGCCATAATGTGCACCTCTGCCTATTCCTTCGGGGATAAAAGGCGTGATATTATGTTCTTATAATTACACAAACTTCGCAGTCAGTGACGTAACTACAGGGCAAAGTGCTACGGGCCCCTAGCCGAAAGGGGCCCCATACAGAGGGTCTTACCTGAATTTCGCGGTTTTAATAGGCAAAGGGGCTCCAACAGTATACTAACGTCATTGCTTAACAGAATTCCCTGTTACATTCTACAAAAAGTTTCATCAGCAATTACATTCACTATACATACATATGAAATGAGAAAGTGAATCATAGTTACGCTTTTACGCCTAAAATTCGAGGCATTTTAAAGAAATTTACTATATACAAAGTTACTAGATAGATTATATTAAATGTTCTATTTTTCATATTTTATTATTTTGAACATAGTTACGTAGGAATGTAGTGAGGAAGGATGGTAATTTTACATCGACCTTCCTTATTTCATCTCATATGCCTAGGTATAACCAAATACATATATTTGATGTATGCAAAACTAATAGGAAATTAAACAATAAGCTTGAAGCAATATCAACAAAGCCTATGGAATATATGTATTGACAATCGGCATCTCCCGTCGTGTTCCGCGCCAAAAAGCCATCAGACTACCCAGCAACACTGGTGCCCGATACGGAGCGGTGGAAGACAAACGGGTTACCGGGCTCTGACTGTGAGCAAGAATAGAAACAGGGTTTAGTCTGGTGGTACTTCTCGTCTCACCCAAGGCGGGAGCAGACATTGGATGATTTTCCCCCTTAAAACAGAAAAAGTTTATCGAGAATATTGCTAACCATGTTGTAACTAAGGCTGCCTCGTGGGCCGAGAGAGTCTCAAGTGCGACTGCTGGGCAAGGGGTCTCGGGTTCGATTCCCGGGTCGGACAAAGTATTACTGGGTTTATAAAAATTCTCAGTAGTGGCAGGGAGTCTGGAAATATGGGCCTATTACACGGGACATGAATAGCGAAAAGTGGGTGTTACATTGTAGTACAGTGGCTTCAAGTGTCGTAGTGTTCACCTCTGCGTACCCCTCCGGGGATAACGATGGTGTTATTTTATGTTACTAACCATGTAGGAAGTATTGTCCAGGCAGGGTATTCAGTATTCTTTTTTTATTTTTTTTTTCATCATCATCGCAATCGAATCGGCATCGGCCCAATTCGGAGTCGGGGAGAACCTAACGGGTAACCGGGGCTCCGGCTCGACGTGCAGGAGAAGGAACGGGGTGGTTTTTAGTCAGTAAGAAGACTCTTACTGACTAAAAACAACTCTGGGTGAGGCGGAAGGGAGTGTCGTCTGACACTCCCTTCCGCCGAGACGGGAGCAGTCATTCGATGATTTTCCCCCCTTAAAAAAAAAGGTATTCAGTATTGATTGCACTTATAACAAACAATACTATTTATTTTATTTACAAGCTTAACTATAGATAAAAGTCGGTCCAATAAAATTCACTTTCCACTCATACAACGAGGAAACACAATGATAAGGGTCTCTATATATTTGCGTACAAAACAATAAACTAGTATCGTATGATTCCTTATCAATATCATCTAAGGTTATCAGGAAATTGCATATTTATACAATGTCTATCTTATACCGTTGGATTAAGGTGGATTATTGTTGATTGTCTTTAAAGTGAGCGGTTATCATGGGTCATTGTTATTGTAATAACTGGCTATTGTCACAGTGTTTAACATGTCATGCAATGGATTTGCCTTGAAGCGTCATCTTGCTTATTTTACGGTAAATAGGTACTTGAGCTACAGCTTGAGTACAATACTAGCTTGTATTTTAAAATTGGAATTTTAAGAGTATGTTGATAAACTGAATCCAATTTTTTTTTTTACAAAATATCAGTACGATGCTGATATCATACATGAAGAATACAAAGCTGACCTTGTATTCTCCATATTGGGTGTACCACATTGGGTGTAAATTCACTCTATAGTGGACTATACACATAACATAACATCACGCCTTTTATCCCCGAAAGGGTAGGCAGAGGTGCCCATTATGCCACTGTACAATGTAACACCCACATTTCACTATTTATGTTATGAGTCCCATGTAATAGGGTGTGAGCCTATTGCCAAATACCGGGCACAATTCCAAACTCCGTGCTACTACTGAGATATTTTTTTAAACCCAGTAATATTTTGCCCGACTCGGGAATCGAACCCTTACTCAACAGTTGCACTTGCGACCACTCGGCCAACGAGGCAGTCTGTACTATAGAGTGAATTTAAATTATAATATCTACTTTTCAGTAATGTATCGATTTTGGACTATCTTGTTAGTGAGAAAATGAAATCCACATGCAAACATTCCAATACAGTAACAGTTTATTTAAAGATATATTCTTAGACTGAAATTAACTTTTAGCGGATAACATTGAACTAGAAAATAAATCTAAATTACATTTAGCAACATAGCGTAGAACAAGGACAGATAGAAATAAAATAGCAGAATCAAATATTTCTGTCATCAGCTCTTCGCGCGGGTGTCGTTAAAGCCGACTAAGGGTCGATTATTCAATGAACAGTTGATACTAAACTAGCCAATAAAATTGACATAATTGACAGTTTTAGTATCGAAGAATTATCAAATGTTCAAAGATATTCCTCAATAAAAATGTATCTAGCGTTGGATGAAATCGGCCCTAAACTAGGCTGTTAGGCTATAGCATATCGTCTCCTCCTTCTGCGAAGCAGTCATGCTAACTAAGGAGGAGGCGGAGCACATGAGGAAACGATCCTCCTCACGCCCCAGCCGTCGCGAGAGACACTCTGGGCGTCGGGGATCACCGTAAGCACGGGCCTGCGGACGGCGAGCACGGGTGACTCGCTCTCCGACCAAAACCAGGCGGCTTGCTCTTGAATCCAATTCCGATCGATCGACATTGGTATTGTGAAATTTCGTACGCTCGAGTTGCAACACTAGCGCCCATTGCATCCGTATTGCGTGGTACTGATTTTGACTATATATTCCGTACTCTGAATGCTATTTTAACAACTACGATAGGGGTTGTATAGTGTTGACATTGAATAATTATTGAGATTGTATTGGATTGAAATTGCATTGACATTGAGATTGATTTCAAGAGTAAGCACCCAGACCCGAGCGTACGGCGCGTCGCGTTCCGCGTGCGCCTCAAGAATCCATCAGACACCACCCAATAGGGCTGATGCCGATACGGAGCCGCGGAAGACTTAACGGGTTGCCGGGGCTCCGGCTCAAAGTGCAGGAGTAGGAACGGGGTGGTTTTTAGTCAGTAAGAGTCTAACACTTCGGCTTACCCGGGCGGGAGAAGTCATTGGATGATTTTGCCCCCTCAAAAAAAGGCTATAGCATATATCAGGCGAAAACCGCTCTCTGATAAACTGGAACCTTTTAACCCGGTAAGCGGTATCTCCTACCGCCTGGAGATTATGACAAAGAAAAAGGATACCTGTAGTTCAGCAGTGGATTGTCGAGCCGCGAACGTCCACAGCCAGCTAAAATAAGTTAATTTGGTTTAGCTCGCATAGTTGACCCCGTTTGTTATGTGCTACCAGTTCGTCTTCAGAAGCTACTTTAAAATAGGACACATATTTTTCTGCTACATAGATAACGTGAGCAGACGTCCCGTTTTGAACGGTACTGTCCCTTTTTATAATTACAAATCTCGTTGCCCCCGAAATCAATTCTGGGACGCAAAATTGTCCCGTTGTCGGAAGCCACACGAAAATTTGAATAGTCGAACCTATGGGACGACCGTTCAGACGGCTCGAGAGGTGTGCGAGAGCAATACATAACTCGTTAATTTTTGACGAATTACAGTCGAAAAAACTTTAAGTAGGTACGTACATTTTTGTGCAATTAGTAATGTTAAAATGCTGGAGACGTATGCTCCGTATTCCCTGGACCGCTCGTCGCACCAACGTCTCCATTCTCAAGGAGATCGGAATTACTACGAGGCTGTATACCGTATGCCTGCAGCAAATACTAATTTATTTTGGCCACATTACGCGTAGAGATCCCAACAATCTGGAGAAGCTTGTGGCTGTTGATCGGGTTAGCAGGAAAAGACCTCGTGGTCGCCCCGGTGCTTGGATGCTGTAAAAAACCTAACTGGCCTGACAGTTCCACAAGCCATAAAAACCGCAGAGGACAGGGGCGTTTGGAAGAGGGTTGTGCACCAAGTGACGCGTGCCCAGACTAGACACGACCTTCAGTAATGAAGAAAACGACTAAGAAGATGTAATGTCAAATGTTAACCTTTTTGTTGTGGGTACCAAGTTCGTATTTACTGGTTTACAGGCTGTATAATAGGATCTAGCTACTAGATGCCTGTCTGAATTTAAATTAAATAATGTCACGTTTTGAGTCAAAAAATAAATGGTCACCTTAGACATAGATGGCTTAACAAGAAAGGCAAGTAAATAAAGCGCTACTGTGTAATTACTCATAACCACCTTGCACGGTATCATTATGTACATCTACTTGCACACATACATGGCATAAGTACATAATATACTAGATCACAATTTAAGATAATATTATGTGTTATCTCTTAAACAAAATTCACAAGGAAAATTGTATCGCGTGATAACGAATTTGAGATAGAGTAATAAATAACGACAAGTGAGTAGGTATGTATGCAGAGACGAATTTGATTATTTATTGGTTTTGGGACCTTCTAAGTTTCTGGGTCCCGAAAATATGAGGGGGCCCCCTATAATGTTCAGTCTATCTCGTTCATCAAATGATACTGCGATTCGAGCCAAATTCTCTATACAGCAATGTGCACCTCTATCAGAACTTAACACTTCATCAATGAATAAAAACATTGGTTGCAAAAGTGCTAAACAATAGTAATCGTTTTTTATTACTTATACCATTAATACCATTAGCACTATTAATACAGCCAATAACTGGTGTGATTGTAATTAATACAAATTTTTAACAAAATTAAACTTCAATTATTGGGCCCACTTCTTCCATAACCGGGCATCGCAACATCATAGTCCGTCCCTGTGCAAATTGATAAACGAATAGCGTAATAAAATATTATCACATACAATTATCTACAATGATTGTCTATTGTAACGCTATGATTGTAAATCTCTACAATCAATACTCATTATAGGCACTTAATGTAGTTGATATTTTTTATTGTATTTCTAATGTTATTATGTTGTTATGATAATGCATATATCCTGTATGACTCGTTAGTTTAGTAAATGCAAATGTAACTACTGAGGGATTAGAACTAGTATGTTTTTTTTTTTTGTTGAAAATAATCGAAATGAGACCGCGTTCAGCGCTCTGGTTGGCTGGTTCATTAGAGCCAGCCAATCAGGCCTCAGATTGGTTGGTTCACTGTACAATCAGAACGCCGAACCCTGAGTTCTCTGAGTATATGGGATTTAGAAATGGACTTTTGCCAAGTACCTATACTTAATAGAATTTTAAGGTATTATTCATTCTCAATAATAGCATATAGTTTTAATTTGCAAGGCTATAGCGGTACACTGTCTACTATTATACAAGTTTCTTGGTGTAGGGCAATTGAGAATATACTGGCTGCATCCTGTACTGTTGTATTTTATTTGTGACACCGTTCAGAGCCTGTGACATATTAGAAGTTCAAATGAAACCTCTGAACGGGGCCTCTTCCAGCTGGGGGCCCGTGGCATTTAGTAGTTACGTCACTGATTTCCACCCTGTAGTACGCTACCGATGTTGCATATATTCAAAATATAAAAGTGCATAAACATTAATAGAAAGTTAAAAAACTGAATACAGCAGAAACACACGCGATATTCGCGTTATATTAGGGTTACATAAGACTAACCAAAAATGTAACACACCTCTGCATTTTCTATCGGGTAGTAAAACATTTATTTATTAGGAAACAGTTATTTATATTCAATTTAATTTTTCAGTTCGTACCAAAATGGGTGGCACCAAACGTGTTAACATTCGGCGGGTTTCTGCTCGTCGTTCTGAACTTCTTACTTCTCTCGTACTACGACTACGATTACTACGCCGCCAGTACGCCACTGTACAACGAAACCGTCACCGAGTCGCCTTTGAACGGCCATGTTGAATTAATACCACAATCCTTATGGTATTTCATCGGGATTTTCTTGTTCTTGGCTTATACTTTAGGTAAGTTAAAAATAAAATAAAAATTATCATTCTAGGTTTCGTTTGAGGCAGTTTTAGACTATCCGTGTATCCGAGATGGTTACAGGGCCAGCCTGTCCGGCCCCCTAATGTATTTAACGTTGGATCTTTTATGTTGTTTAAAAGACCAAAGAAAACAATCTGTTATACTCTAGTATAGAGCCCTTCTGGCATAGTCCAGCTCTGTCTGCCTGTTTTTATAGAAATATCAGCAAATTCTGTTTTGGGAAAAAATCCTTGTAATTACCAAACTTAAAGATTGTAGGAGGCACTTTAAACAATATCAACCTTCTACGAGCATTGGTTTCGGCATTGCGTTATCTCTCAGACACTCAACCAGAATTGAAAATAAACAAAAATTTATTTTCAATAGGAATATAACAAAATAGTTATTATTTTCTCTTCCAGATGGCATTGACGGTAAGCAAGCCCGTCGCACTCAGACCTCGGGTCCACTAGGAGAACTATTCGACCACGGCCTAGACTCATACACAGTATTCTTCATACCGGCCTGTCTATACTCCATCTTCGGACGGTTAGACTACTCTATACCGCCTATCAGGTAAATAATCTTATGTTCCACTTTTTTAACCGACTCATAAAAAGGTTTATAGTTTGACCTCTATGTTTCTGTGATCTCGCGATTGGCTGAATCGACTTTGATACGGTTGTCAGATAATGAGATAAAGTCTTTGTTAAACCTAAAAGAAGGTTTTAGTACATTAATTAATCGACTTCAAAACAAGAGGAGATTTCAGTCGGTTTTATTTAAACGTAGCTTATTTAAACTGTCAAACACCAAGCGGTCACCGGTGACCGCAACCTATTGTTCTATAATTGTGTCTATAATGACGGTACTCGACGAGTTAAGAATTATTATTTCTTCAAAAAGATACATTAGGTTTCAGGTCATGGTCTCTGTCTAACATAATGTAGGTATCTTTTTCGAGTAGGTACAGATGTCTTAGAAACAGCATGTAGCAACATCAGCCTAGAATTGCGCCCTGTATATGGCAGTGTCGTGGTGGCCCGGAGGTTTAAGACGCCCACTTCTCATGCATGAGGGTGCGGGTTCGAAACCTACCAACGGCAAGTACCAATGTGACTTTTTCCGAGTTATATGTACTTTCTAAGATTATTTAGACACCACTGACAAACGGTGAAGGAAAAACATCGTGAGGAAACCTGAACTTATAATTTCTAATTATAAGTTTGAAATCGCCAACCCGCATTGAGCAAGCTTGGTGATTAATGCTCTAACCTTCTCCGTGTGAGAAGAGGCTTTGCTCAGCAGTGGGCATTTATAGGCTGTTGATGATGATATGGCAATAGGCTCACCTCCAAGTGGGTGTAACATATGTGCACCTCCGCCTACCCCTTCATAGATAAAAAATGTGACATTACATATCGTATAATTTAATTATTCAATTTCAAGCTGGCCATAATTATAGTCAAGGAGAAAATAATGCGAATTGCGGTCTTTACTTAGCTCTAGGCCCCATCACCGTGGGGCCCATTAGCCCATATGACTCAATACAGCCCTGTATTTTCTTTATAAGAAACTCGTACTAGAGGTATAACTATAGACACTGTGATGACACTAATTTCAATATCAATGGGGGTATTAAGGGACATGGGGCACATAACATAAATAGTGAAAAGTGGGTGTTACATTGTACAGTGGCATTAACCATAAATCCCCAAGCGGTCACCGGTGACCACTTTCCACTAATATTACATTATATTATAGACCTTATTTCTAATGTTTAGAGACAACTTTTGTATGACCAAATTTAGGGAATGTATTTCAACGGGTTAAGTGCCGAAATGTGCACCTCTGTCTACCACTTCTGGGGATAAAAGGCGTGTTATGTTACTGATTTCAACTAATTCTATGTACTCTGTTTATTGTCCTTTGTGTTGTATGGGTGTACATAAATAATAAATAATTATGTTTTTCAGAATCTACTACGTCATGTGGAATCTCCTCCTAAACTTCTACATCAGTCATTGGGAGAAGTACAATACTGGAGTACTGTTCCTACCGTGGGGATACGACTTCAGTATGTGGGTGAGTTAAATTCATTTACTTTTTCATTTGTTTTAATAAATCGTCTGACTGCCTCGTTGGCCGAGTGGTCGCAAGTGCGTGCCGGGGCAAGGGGTCTCGGGTTCGATTCCCGGGTCGGGTAAAGTATTACTGGTTTTTAAAAAATTCTCAGTAATAGCACGGAGTCTGGAATTGTGCCCGGTATATGGCAATAGGCTCACCCCCTATTACATGGGACTCATAACATAAATAGTGAAAAGTGGGTGTAACATTGTACAGTGGCATAATGGGCATCCATGCCTACCCCTTCGGGGATAAAAGGCGTGATGTTATGTTATGTAATAAATCGTCATTTTAAAAGAATCTCATCATCAAAATAGATTTAACCTTATTTTGCTAACTACATAATCGATTGTCTTCCAGGCGTCGACAGCGTTCTTCCTGTGGACCGGTGTGAAAGGCACGGGTTTCTATAAGAAGTATATATTCGCCGGGTATACGCTAGCCAACGTGTTCGAAGTATTAATCTACGCTACGGGTGTTGTCACTAACCTACCGGTCGCCCTTTATAATATTTATCAGTAAGTATTGTTATTTAAAATACTAGTAAATAGACTTTGTTTTGTCTTTGTTGGAAAACTCTCTCTTCTTATTGATCAAAAATATATTTCTAAATACCTTCAAAGTCACTCTCGACTTTTCCGCTTAGCTTAACTAAAACTTAGTTTTCTCCGTATGTTAAAAAAGTTAACTAATTAAACACTATTAAAGTCAGTGCTAATATAACATCACGCCTTTTATCCTGGAAGGGGTAGACAGAGGTGCACATTGCGGCACTTAACGCCACTGTACAATGTAACAGCCACTTTTCACTATTTATGTTACGAGTCCTATGTTATAGGGGGTGAGCTTATTGTCAGTGTTAACTAATCAGAAAATCTAAAAAGTCAAAACAAGATTTTATACAATACAATAACTTAAAAAATCACTAATATTTTTCCAGGTCATATAAACTGCGTACAGGCAAGATGCGATCTACAACGGAAGCGCTCCGGCCTCTGTGGTCGTTTGTAACGATGTTGGTAGTCTGCTCCGTGTGGGTGCACAAGTCCAGTCGACTGCCCGAGTACGACCTCAGGGTGCTATTCCTCCTCATCGGGACACTGTTCAGTAATGTCGCTGTAAGTATTATTATTACTGGCCTTAGAACTCACATCTAGAGTCCATTGCTGAACTAGGTATGGGTCATGAGCTTCTTCTACAAAAGACTCTCTTTCTCGCTATTTTCATATCTTTTTAAGTCTAGTTTTAAAAACAAATCGTACATAAAGTTATACTCGCTCCCCCTTCCCGGTCTTCTCGTCCCCTTCCCCCTGAAAAACTTAGCAACGCACCTTTTCTGTCCATGAGTGATGCTGACTGATCCATCTGTTTGTTTGCCATGAAGGTTCATTATGACGTATATTTAACAATAATGTCTGTATGTCTCAGTGTCGTCTAATAGTAAGTCAGATGAGCAACCAGCGCTGTGAGAGTATCAACGTGTTGCTATGGCCCCTGAGCGTGGCGGCCACAGTGTCGCTACTGTCGCCGCAGTACGAGCCTGTCGCCTTCTATGGCGTCACTCTACTTACTGTGCTTGCTCATATACATTATGGAGCTTGTGTTGTGAGTATTATTATTATTACATAACATTACATCAACATCGCGCCTTTTATCCCAGAGGTGCACATTATGCCACTGTACAATGTAACACCCACTTTTCACTATTTATGTTACGAGTCCCATGTAATAGGAGGTGAGCCTATTGCCATATACAGGGCACAATTCCAGACTCCGTGCTACTACTGAGAATTTTTTAAAACCTAGTAAAACTGCCCGACCTGGGAATCTGTCTGAGTGTCATGTGTATATGAACTTGTATGTTTGTAAACGCACCCACGACACAGGAGACAATCCTAGTGTGGGACAACTCGGAGTCGCGGAGAACCTAACGGGTAACCGGGGCTCCGGCTCGACGTGCAGGAGAAGGAACGGGGTGGTTTTTAGTCAGGAAGAGTCTGACACTCCCTCCCGCCTCACCCAGGCGGAAGCAGTCATTCGATGATATTCCCCCCCTTAAAAAAAAAGTGTGAGACAACTTTTTTTAATAAATAATAATTACAACAACACCTTTATTACATTAGTCTCTCCATACCCAATGCTAATACTGTCAATTTCAGAATAAAAAAGAAACAAAAACCTTCAAATCGACCTTGATAACTTAATACTAATATCTTTCACCCCACAGGTACGTCAGATGTGCGATCACTTCAGAATAAACTGCTTCTACATAAAGCAGAGGTCAGATTGACTCTTAGACGACAATGCGTGTTAGTAACATAACATTAATGTAACACATATAGGTCTCATCAGTTACTTAACAACATCGTGTACACTCCGCCTTACATTTACATATTATACTCAACAATGTTGGGAACTAGATTATTTTGAATAGATTAACTTTATATTATTTTAAGATAATTGAGGTTTTTTTTGTCCTTTAAAGTTTGTTAGTATGATATTTTTTGATAGTTTTACTAGTTTATTTCATACGTCATCCTGAGATGACGTATGAAATAAACTGGTCTGAACCAGTGATAAGTCAGAGGCCTTAGTACGAGTTTCTTTTTATTTTAAAGTATTCGTAACGAGTACGCGTTCGGCGCTGTGATTGGCCGGCGCCAATGAACCAACCAATCAGAGCACAGGACGCCGTCTCGTTTCGATTACTTTAAACGAAAAGAAACTCGTACTAAGGCCTCTGTTTTATGAAAGTTTGTACTCTGTTGGCGATTGTGTAGCTTTATGGCACTCTTGACAGACTTTAAATCTCAGTGGCACCATCTGGTCATAAGAAAACAAATATTTTATAATACCTGTGAATATTCAATATCGTGATATAAAAGAAATGATATTGTTTAAAATAATCTAGTTTCCACAGTACATAACATTGTCTGACTATTTATTTAACTACCAAAATACCATTTTGATAGTAAAATATTCAGTCAAAATACACAATAGAACTGCTTACTAGAATAAAAACTGTTCCTTCAATTACAATTATTAAAAAAAATAACCATAGATTTAGAAAAAACAGAAGTACATTATGTTGTTATTATTTAACGAAAAAATGTTATGTTATTTTTATAAGGATTGTACACACAGTATATAACTATATTTTATGACATAATCGTACATATATTACATACATCATACAATAATAGTTTAATTAATAAAAAAACATTTTGTATAAATGTCTAACTGTCATCTGTCAATTTGACATATTGGTTTTTTTTATTTATTTTTTTCACAAATCATAGTCAACTTTCTTTATATGTATTGTTTTTTTATTTTTTTTATCCTAATGTGTACGTCTTTATTTTAAGGGTTCATAACGCGCATTGTCCTTTGATTTTTTTTTTTTTGTAAGATCCAGCCATAATTGGTTTATTTTTAAGGACTTTTGAAATCAAGTTCTTATTTTTTTATTCTTGAGTGTAAATCAAAAATGTTTTGAGTATTAATTCGGTTGTTTGCCATTTAGGTAATGTTTGACCTTATAATAACTTTTTTTGGAAATTGAGGGATGAGTCGTACTTTAGTATTTATAATTTCTGCCTAGTATTTAGAAAAAAATCTCCGCAAGATCTGTAAATTAATTTAGGTAGCATTTATAGTTATTTATTTTCCATACTTTTGTTAAAGGAATCGAAATCATTTTTGAAATAGTTGTTGAATTACAAAATGCAATAGAATTTATAAAATTATTTTTTTTTAGCTCATTCCTCAATATGTTTGTATGTGTACTTTATTCATAGATGGGATGACCTCATGAGAAACGAAAAATATTTATATTTCTATTTCAGAAAATTTCAACTTCACAAATAGAGAATGTGATTTGAATTCTAGTGATATTTTTTTTTGTTTCTTGTAAGGTCAGAATATCAATAAAGTAAGAATTTATTATACTTTTTTAGTCGACCAGTAGATTTTATTTAAGTGATTTTTTTGTTTTAATTATTTAATTTTATCAATATCTATAATAAACAGGTTTATTTACAAAATTGCCGATTCGAAACGGCTATTTCATAGGTGCCGTATTTAAGTAATTAAAACAAAAATATTTTATTTTGTAATTTAGTTTTAAGTTAAAAATTAGATTTTAAGCAAAATATCGCATTTTTCGTTATATTTAGCATATTATTATGTGTAGCACCGCCTTATTAAGCAATTAGATGTCGTTTTGTGTATTTCGTCTATAACCTAAATTTAATTTAAATTATTCAGTATTCTTAACCAAAATAATTGTACCTAATTTTGTTTTCGTTCCAAAACTACTAAAACATACCCTATCTATAAAATATTTCCAAAAAATAAGACTAAAAATTACTTACGTGACTTCGGAAAATTCCCTCAAAAATTCGATTAGATTTTTTTTATTGTACCCAATATTTTTTTTTTTTTAATGACTGCACGGTTGGTGCGGTGGCTGGGCAACCGGCTGCCGTGCAACGTGTCGCGGGTTCGATTCCCGCATGGAACAACACTTTGTGTAATCGTGTAATCCACAAATTGTTGTTTCGGGTCTGGGTGTCATATTGTGTATGTGAACTTGTATGTTTGTAAACGCACCCACGACACAGGAGAAATACCTAGTGTGGGGCAACGTTTTAAAAAAAAAAAAATATTTTTATTCTAACAATATTATGTTTACTGTACTGGTACTTTCAGTATTAAGTTAATGAACCCACCAGTTTAACCTATAATTTTATTTAAACTACACATTTATATTCAAAAAGGTTTTATATTTAATTTTATAAAAAAGTATAATCATTTTGTATTGATCAATCTTATAATCACCAGTTTTCTATTCGGCCTGTTAAACAGTTACAAATCGTAACGAAAAACTAATACTAAATGTTTTTTTTTATTCACCCCCATATTTAACCTGTGGTATGCCGAAAACGTCAATCTACGCGAGACGCAATGTATTATCTATTGTGTCATATACCTCTATACTGGCAGCCAATCAAACATTGTTACTGGTTTTTCAATTATCATTTTATAACACGATATTTTGTTCACAACCTGTATATTAAATAGTTAACAATAATATTAAATTATAACAGATGGATTCTACTCACTGTCCTAATCGTTCTTTTTATATAAAACACATTAATTTCTTCCCATACACAAGTAGCGACATGGCTAGACTCTGTAACATTACGATTGACCAATCACAGAAGACAAATTGAAACATCAAATATTTTATTTTGAACTTTATTATACTATGAGTTATTCAAGTGAAAATTGACTTAATAATTTGTAAGCAATAAGGACTATATTTCAGTGTGAGTAATAACCAGCAATAAGTAAGAGATTACTATAATAAAATCATTACAAATTAAAGTGCCTGACATTAGTAAGGTAGACACTAGACATTCATAGTACGCTTTCAGCTAGGTTTAGACATAGATCGAAAATAAACACTAAATAGAAATAAGATTTTCATTTTATTCAAAAAAAAATTAATTTATTGTAACCACACTCACGACACAAAAGAAGAAAGTTAGTGGGTATATATACATCATGTGTCACCTAAGTTATATGAAAAAAAATGTTAGTGGTATAAAAATATGTATGGACTTTACTTAGTTTATTTTCTTAAATATGATATAATTACTAACCCTCTTACAAATGTAGATGCAATTATATATAAGTTACTAATGCAATAAAAAGTACATACTATACTTATCTTTCACTATTTTAAGGGTTGGTCCCATTATGAAAAATGGTTCTAATTATTGCGGTTGTTGTGACTAAAAAATAACCCCCTGTGTAATGTCAAGTTCAAGTGTCAAAGGTTGTAATTCTTTTTTGTACAATATTTGTAGTGAATTGTGTTTATTTATTTGTAAATTGTACTTTTTTCAACACTAAGTAGAAAGTAATTCATGGTAAGATCTATTTTTCAAATCACTACACAGTATAAAACAAAGTCGATATCCGCCATCTGTCTGGGAGTTGGTCAGCGCAAATTTAATAAAACGTTAAGCAAAAACTACATTTGGAGAATAAGGATTAAAGACTACTTACCCATGAAGAAACCAATCAACTTATTACAGCTTTGGAAAAGTCATGTTTATCAAGTTCAAAGTAGGAACGCTTCTCTTTTCCTTTTGTAAACAGTCTCTTTATATTTTCCCTTTTTTAAAAGGATTAATCTAGGGTAAGTTAAAGTTGAGTAACAAAGGTTTTATGAATATGTTTTTTTTTTGTAATCGGTCCTTCTTGCGTAACGAATGTCCATTAATTTCTGTCTACATGGTGTTGAAAAAATGTAAAGCCATTTTAATGTATTAATTTTAAATCGTGTACTAGCCAGACTAATTAGTATTTTGATTTTTAAGTCGTGTGTTGTAAATTAGGAACTAAATAAAGTGGAGATCGTGTGTAATCTTGATATTTCTGGGACCAGCTTTAGTTTATATGTTGTTTAAGGGTAACTGTCCACATTGAGTCCTTGGACAAATGCATGCACAAACAATAGGCAACCTACAAATGACAAATTTAATGTTTGCATCTTGCTTAAAAACAGAGAAAGCTCACAAAGAATGCGTACGTTCGTCAAATGACGCAACGTGGACAGTAGGCCTAAATGAAAATAGGGTAGTTTCCTTAATTTTATTTTAATGTCCGTCTGGTAGATTGATTTAAAACATTAGACACGTATTTTTTCTATACTCTCAAAACTGAAATACTTTTGACGATACATTAATTTTTAACATCGTGTGACGTCACAGCGTGCGACATTTTGTAGCACGTTGTGACGTAACGACCTCCCACTCCGAAACTTAGCGCCATTTTATCTAAGTATTGCAACTTAATAGGAGAAAATAAAAAATACGTGTCTAATATTTTTTCATTATCTAACTGACGGACTAATTAGATTTTTAATTTTGATACCCTGGAAACTACCCAAATACACGTGCAATGCAATCTACAAATGCATGCAAAATGCAAATGCTACGTGAGATTCATAAGAGAGATTCAATTATAGTTTTTTAGTTATAACACAATATTTAATAACTCATTTAATTTGGTCACTTGTGTAAGAATCGACTTACTAATATTAATTTTAAAAATACCGTTCCTTAAAATGGACTTTGGCCCTTATCCCTAAAACAAAATACTACTAATTTTGTAAATTAAATATAAATTAGTTTTTATAAATCTTTATTATCAAACGTTCTTCCAACCAATATATTAGAGGCCTTAGTACGAGTTTGTTATACGTTGAAAGTGATCGAAACGAGACTGCCTTCGCCGCTGTGATTGGTTAGGTCATTGGAGCCCGGCCAATCACAGCGCCGAACACGTACTCGTTCCCGATTACCTACTTCAAACGTGTAACAAACTTGTACTAAGGCTTCAGCTACGCGTAGGTAACTTTGCTTTTTTGCTGTAAAAAAAATATGAAAACTAATTTATTTTTAATAATGATAGTTGTTCTAGGGTGAACTCCGACTAGTTTAAGCGAATATGAGCCTACTGCTTTAAGTAATAAAATCCGCTTTTCCGCGGCAATAAATACATTTAAGTCGGACTGATTGTGCCAGGGTAATGTGTACCTTAAAGCGAAGATAAACTGCGTACATTTGAGCAAAATCAAATAAACTGATACAATGTTTGTACGTTCTAAGAAAATAGATGTTAATGTAAGGTTTTGAGAGAGATTGTAAAGGAAAGCATATCGTGGGAGCTAAACATTATTTGAGAGGTTTTTCTTATAGGGTAATATTGATGATCAAAGCATTCAACAATGGAATTTTATGGGATCAAATGACGGTACCAATTTTCTTCTTCATTGTTAATCGCTAGACCTAACTAAAAAGGTCACTGAAATGTAGACTCTATACACCAGTGAGAAGTCTTAAAATTGGTTGAATTATTTATTCAGATTGGTGCTGGGCACCGATTATATTTCATAGAGTCCTCAGTCTCACTATAATGTAATTCTTTTGTCGCTAGATCTAGAAGTCCCGACTTTAAAGTCAGAACTTTATCGCAAAAGCATATGATTGAAAATGTATTGAAAACATCCAATCTTTCTAGATACTCAATCTGTCCAATGTCAAAAATAATAAAAGCAGTTTGAGGTACATGTCTTCATCGCTGGCTTACATTAATTTAAAAAAATATAATATGTAAGTGATTCTGTCAAATTGTGATTAAAAAAAAGTTAATGGTTGTGTTCGTTTTGCACAGATGCACGCAGTTAGGCATTCTTAGTAGTCTAATAGACTTGTCTGGTCATTCGTTTTGACTGTTATTGACTCAGTTTAGGCAATCACATATTTTAATGCATTTAAATATTTATGCCACATTTATTAGGTCGAAATTGGAGTAACAATGCAAAAAATGAACTACATACATATAAATGAGATCGCCATTAATTACTACTCTGTGTTCAATATGGAGATCACAGAACGTTTTAAATGGATAAAATTAAATTTAACTAAAAATATTTGTGTGATAGTCTAAACTCGAGTCAAAATGGCTATCGAATATACAGTGGCCAGCAGGCCAGCCAATCCATGTCTTACAAATATCTCTATTACATCATCAACTTTATTTTATGGACATAAAGTAGAAAATCCAATGAATAATTTTGACAGATTGGAGTCGGTTGGTTGATCTGCTGGCCACTGTACATTGTGACACATGTTCTTTCCCTAATGCCTTGTTACGAATGTATCCAGATGTCTAGTACAGTGTAAGTTAATTAAATAATACTTACTCATGTAACTTTATGACGTGGTGACTCTACTAGTTTCGAGCCACGACTGGGACCCATAATCAATAGTATCTCGAAACTAATTGAGCAAGCCCCGTAAAATAGTGGTTTAGTAAGCTATATTACCTAATATCTCACGATAGTTAATATTATACAAAAATACATTGTATTTGTAGCTAGCTAGTGGCTTTTTACACAATGACACAGTCATCGCTTCTCCACTGTCGTGTGTCACAATAAAATATTTAGATGATTTCGTTGTTTTATTGCACCTTTTGGAAACCCCTAACGAAAATCTATCTTCTATATAAAGAAAAATGGATTTCCGTTCGTTAGTCCCGCTAAAACTCGAGAACGCGAACGGCTGAACTGATTTGGGTAATTTTGGTCTTGAAATGATCGTCGAAGCCCAGGGAAGGGTTAAAAAGTAAGAAAAAAACTTTTTGGCGATACGAAGTTTGCTGGGTCAGCTAGTACATACATAATAATATTTTAACATAATAGGTAACTTATGTCTTTGTCTCATAGTGGTAAACAGATATGACGTAACACCTGGCTCCCTAAGATAAGGATCTTATATATATAAGGATATACCTATGTATGTCTCTCTATTGTGAAGCACGTATTTCAAAGGACTCCAATGAGGACAGGAGGCGACCTTTTTCTCTAAATAAAAAAAAAACGAAAAATCCCGCATTTCAGTAAACTTTTAAAACGAGGACTTTACAATGGATTATATGATATGATTTCTATATATCTTATACTATTATATAAAGCTAAAGAGTTTGTTCGTTTTTTTGAACGCGCTAATCTCCAGAACTACTGTACCAATTACATTTTTTTTTGTGTAAGGAAGGAGGAAGGCTATAAAATATCACTATAACCACTTTATTCTCTTATCTTGACTCTCCTTCTTCACCTACTTACCTTGCTTCTTACTTCCAATATACGTGCGCAAACCACACAAAATTTCTTCGTTCGTCTCAAAATCGACATCTTCAATGTATCTCTCATCGCACTGACTTCTTTCATTCTTCCTTTTTCATTCAAGCTGTAATTATGTGGAATGCATTGCCCAAGGAGATCAGAATGGCAACAAGTCGCAATTCCTTTAAATTTAAAGTCCGTGAGCATTTACTTAAGCATTGGCAGACTCAAAACAATTGAGGAAACTATTCTGACGTTTTTTTTTTTTATATATATATATATAATATATTGTAGTATTTATGCAATAGGTATAAGTATTTGTTTAGTAGTATGTATTATATGGTATGTATATGTCCTATACTGATTTATAAAATATTGTATTAATATATTTATTCTATAGGTTATTTATGTGTGTAGTACATATTACATAACTATTTTTTATTTTCTCAATTGTGTTCTGACTTCGCATCAACCGCTTCATTTCTCTGCACTTCCCTATGGTTGACTGTAAGAGAATGCCTTAAGGCATTAAGTCCGCCATTCACTTATGTATTTGTGAAGAAGAAAATAAATAGATAAAAAAAATATCACGCTTCGATATAGCCGAGCAGTGCGTGTGAAATCGCGCGGGAGTAACGAGTAATCAATAAAATAAAAAAATAAAATGGCCATATATGTATTTATTGTAAATAAATATATTACTCTGTCTTCACACCGTGTTAAGGTTAAATAGTATTACCAGCAACAAATAAAAGCAAAATTCCTTCCTGCCACCGGGGAACAAGTCAATTAAAATGCAGAAACAATAAAAAGATATAAAACCAATTTCTATTAGTATTGTTGAACGATTCATAGTTATCATTATTTTATAGTTATATTTTATTGCACAAAATGGCAGAAAATTGCCCAAACCAGAGAAAGATTAGGTAAACTGAACCTGGACAACATTATTATATTTTGACAGGCTGTAAAGTGATGGTCTTTGCCTAATAAAATATGTCTCTATGGAGCAACATTGTGCTAATGTAGCTGTGACTGTTTTTTAAAAGTATGATGCGACATTATGGGCACTTAACTAGTGTATCTTTAAACTGTCAAACACCAAACGGTCACCGGTGACTGCAACCTATTGTTCTATAATTGTGTCTATAATGACGGTACTTGACGAGTTAACATGCAAAATTCTGAAATCTGTTGACAATATTCCCCTTTCTTTTCTTTTTAAAATCATGACAATCTTTATACAGTTTGTTCTAAAACTAATATTTGTAAAATTTATTTAAGATAGTTGGGTTTTAACATATTGAAAATATTCCTCCTTTATTTTAGGCCTGTCTTCAACTTCCGGCATGTATGGATATAATCCCTTAGCTTTCCTATCCTTGTATACCTTACCCTGAAAAAAAAGAAACAAGGATTTTATAACATACTATCTTTTTAGTTAAATATTTAGCTTATGCAAAAATAATGGATAAATCCTGTACATATATTTTACTCATGTAATTTCACTATAAATTTGATCAGAAACTACTATACATTTTACAGCAAAGTTAATGGAGATAACAACAATAATAATTATTTAATGTACGTGACTTGATCTTGCAAAATAACATAACCTCAAATTGTTTTCATTTCTTACCCAAAACTTTTTACATGTATTGTAGTTATCAAAATACTCTTCACATTTGGATTGGTCATACCCGTTCTTGTTTAGGCATTGATAAGACATTTCTTGCTCCTAAAAATACGGTAAAGTTATATAACACAGTTAATATTTTTTGAAACAAATAAATCTAGTCAAAATATTATTATATAAAACCTTAAGACAAGGATTTAACCGTTCGGCTTCTGTATTCTTTAGTTTCGTCATCTTGGTGGATGAGGGACAATATTCCTTGTTTTTCTTTAGTTTTTGACGATTATTTAATGTTTTTTCTATAATATTTATTTTTTTATTAATTGTTTACATGTCGATTGTCGCGATAATCAGTCAATTATTTGACAGTTGACTTTTGTTTGACACTTATTGAAATAAAATTTCAGTGATCGGGTGCCAAAGAAGAAAAAAATAATTCAGTGAAATTAAAAATTGCCGAGCGTAGTAGTTTAAAAATGTGCCTACATTTTGTAATTATTACATTCATTGAATAAAATCATATTTCAGTTATTTAACGCATTAATATTCCTTCCTTTTCAGTTTATTAGTACAGGACACGGTGCCAGGACAACTGGACAATTCGTTTGACTTCATTTTCGACCTCGTTTATGTACCATCTGTTTGGCTGTTTGGCTTCAATCAATGCTACAAATCAATGAATTGAAAAAGCTTGGCGTTTTAGAGATTCAAATATTGTACTCAATTTCAACATACATAGACAATTCTTTCAATGTATTTGAATAATATCAGTGGTATATAAAATGAAGGTATTTAGAGGTAAATTAAAATTCCTTGTCACAGGTACTTTATCAAAATATGAATAGTTTTAAAAAAAATAGCATAGAATTTTTTTGAGCACAATAGTTTTAACTAAAGCCAATATTTGAAAACAAAACCTAAAACCCTTTGTTATCATGTGTAGTTTTTTATTGCTGCGTGTAAAGTATTTAAACCGACAGATTTTTGTCGTCGATAGTGTTTCAGTTACACTTTTTAAAATTTCTAACCAATCAAAATGCGCTATAGTTTATAAAATAATTTATAGCTTTTCTGCCATTGGTGCAAATATTGACATGTATTACTAATGCATGAAATATGTAGAATTTGAGAACATACTTGCTGAAATTACGACGCGAGTGGAATGGACACCGTCATATCAATAATTTAATAAAACTTTTGATATTTTACAATGTTATGTTTAAAATTAAGTGCCTAAATGTTTTGAGAATAGTTTTATAGTGTTAGTGCTTTATATTAAATGCTTTAGAGATGTCGAAGAACAAAATAGCGGCTCGTGTTGACAGTCAAACTGTGGAAGTCAAAACTAAAGTAAGTGGGAAGGAATTTCTAATTTCTTGACCATACTTGAAAAGTCACGCAAACTTTCTCAACTATTACGAAATCTTAGGATAGTCTAGACTATTTTGAGTTAAAATCTGGCTATATTAGTTATATGAATTTTCTATAAAATGGTTATTCATCACCATGTTCAACTGCTTGTTAAAAAAATACTTGTCCGAGAATTTGCTATCTAAAAGGAAGCGAGCTCAGAAATTATTAGAATTCCACTGAAATAAGTGTTTCCTTCGTATTATTCCTTACTTAAACCAGAGAATACCCAATTACAATAGGTCTTATAAGCGGAAAATACGACATTTAAAAAAATGTAACAGGTTCACAAAAAAAAACCATGTTTTGTGCTTATTGTAATGTCTTGAGAACTAGGTCTCTTGGAGATAAAAGATGAAAATATATAATAATTTAGTTTATTATCTGTTAATTATTAAATAACAGCTTTTTATTACTCAATAACGAAATTACTACCGTCTCATTAGATTTAAGTTTGTGTGGTATTGTTTTTATTGCATTTATTTTCCTCCTACATTGTTTGTCCTAGTAAGCTTCCGATTATTTCAGTTCATTAAGGAGTTAATGAATAATGTTCAACGTCAAAGCTTTTATTTCAACTAATCTGTTTACAGACACTAAATGGAATTATCCGTCAGTCAGTTCATCAATGTATCTAGGTTCTTGTTCCATAATGTAGATTTATTTATTTATTTAAACTTTAATGTACACAGAAACAAGTAATAGTACATAATGATTTAGTTACATGAATAAGAATTAAACTTTAAGGAATGTTTTATAATCAATATAGGTTTATGAGAGCAATGAATAAATTAATAGATTAACTCATACTCCCCTATTTGTTATTTTTAATGAACACTTGACCCCACAGTTTCTATTACTATGAATTTTGGAAGTAAAACTAAACCTTATTATATTGGTATTTTGTTAGATCAGCTGACAGGATGCTTGCTTGTTTTTTATGTAGGTAGGTACATCATTTTTGATAAGATCTGATGTTAATATTGATATGATAACCAGTCTGACATGCACATTTTCTATTTAGCATTGATCTTTTTCCAGTTTGTTATGAGTCACCAAGTAAATAGGGCCTTGCTATGCCATGCCATGACTGCCTCGTTGGCCGAGTGGTCACAAGTGCGACTGTCTGGCAAGGGATCCCAGGTTGGGCAAAGTATTACTAGGTTTATTTTATAAATTCTCAGTGGTAGCATAGAGTGTGGAATTGTGCCCAGTATATCGCAATTGGCTCAACACCTGGGACTCGTAAGATAAAAAAAAAAAATACTGTCCACTGTACAATATAACATTGTACAGTGGACAGTATTGTACAGTACAAACGTCATTATAGACATAATTAAAGAACAATAGGTTGCGGTCACCGGTGTCCTCGCGGTGTTTGACAGTTTAAGTGCCATAATGAGAACTTCTGCCTTCCTTCGGGGATAAAAGGCGTAATGTTATGTTATACTATGCCATGGTTCATCTGGTTTAATTCTGATAACTATATAAGGCTTTTTTTAAGCCATCATGTCTCATGTAGATCCACTTTTCAGCGTACAAAGAGGTGGTTGGTAATTCTTCTATAATAGAGTCTAGTACTAAGAATTACAAGAATCAGACACACAATAATAATAAAGAACAGTTACAATACTGTTCCTTATTCTATCTTCTCTTAGCCATCTTTTACAATGAGCAGTTTCATTAATTGACTGACTGACAATTCTATTTTGATTCTAAAGTCTTTGTTATAAGCATCAATTGATATAAAATGTTTTGACCTTGATACTTTGACTAAGGAATTGTACCCAAAAGCCAATGTTTGGCCGTCATTCTTGATCACTCACCAATAAGACCAATTTATTTAACATTTATATTGTGGAATTGCTTGCTTGTTCTTCTCCATATGAATCTACATTTCGAAACAAGCTTTATCCTGCTTTACTGATGGACAATTGGGTACTTGCACAATAGTCAAATTCAATACTTTTTTGAAACTGTCTAAAGCTACACTTTTCTATAAATTTTGTACGAGATTGTGTATTGTTGTGACGTCACGTTTTTTAACGTCAAAAAGCATACATATTTCTTACAAATTTGCTGGAAATATACTAAAATTAAGTTGGTTACAAAATCAATTAATCAATGAAAGAAAGTGTGATTATCCAATACATTTATTTATATTTATGTAAATAAAGATTAAAAAAAAAAAAAAAAAAGTGTGATTATGTTTTTATATTTTACTGTCTTGAAAGTACCCAATTTTGTGTAATTGTGCCTGTATATGGATTAACTTAAATATGGAGTTTGATTTGACATGTTTCAATGATTTAATTTCTATTTTTCAGTTTGATGCAGAATTCAGAAGATTCTCGCTCAATCGTACTGAGAAGCTCAAGTATGAAGACTTCAAGGCTTTGATAGAGAAGCTGCACAGGCTCCATGATGTAGCCTTCCTCATATCTTACACGGATCCTAGAGATGGAGACCTGTTGCCCATCAATAATGATGATAATCTGGCTAGAGCGCTGCTTACTGCCCGACCGCTGCTCAGGGTCATTATACAGAGGAAAGGTATGTTTTATTGGAATTTGGAACTTATAGTTGATCATTGTCAATAGATCTATCTAGATTAAATTTTGTTCAGCGGCTAGTTTTAACTGGCTAACATGTCTGCTGACTTGGCTAGCTTGGCAAGGATATTGGTATGATGCAAGTTAAACTTGTCAACCTTTTCTCGATACATTTCGTGGTTTCTTTGAACCCTCAATTACATAGTAAAGCCACAGATTTTAACTATGATGTAGTGTTTGTGAAGTTCGATAAAAAATATTTTCTACATGACATTTCATAACATTTTGGTGGTCTCAACAACTTTACCAAACATTAAAATGTTTTGTTGGTTATATTATTTAAATTTTATTGACAATAACACATAAATAGAAGCTCGAAAATAAACCAGAGAGTCCCTAAATACCTAACTATTAAACATAACAGGTTAAAAATCCATTACACTCATACCCACACCAATGACTCACACAATCAAAACTAAATGAATAAAACCTCGGCACACCATGACCTCCATAGACAACACCCATTGTACTGATAAAGATACTTAATTAGCATAGAATGCGACACTATAATCAAACATGTAGCGTCTATAACAAGGTGCTAAGGTTCATAATTGATTAGCTATGTGGCTATGTGGTTACATCTTTTAGGGCCTGGTACTGATAGTATTGTGTACTTATTTACTATTGTTATGTGTACATGCCTGAATCAGGTTGTATGGTTATGCTTCAGCCAAATTTGATGTGAAATTTGTGTTAAGCTGTCTCATATAATTCAAATATTTGTAGTCTGCAGTTTGTTCTCTTATTCTAGAACATTCTTAGTTAAAAAATGTTAGATGATAGGTTTAGTTTCACTGCATCATTAGTGCAATCGTTGCAATTCAAGGGGGACTTAACGGGTTACTGGAGCTCCGGTTCAAACCAGGAGTAGAACTGAACAGGGTGGTGTTTAGTCAGTAAGAGGTTTACACATTCACCAAGGCGGTAGAAGTCATTGGATGATTTCCCCCCTTCAAAAAAGTAACAATAATAATTGAAGGATTGATGTTTACCTCTAGCATAACATAAATGGCTTATAAAGGTGCAGTCTTTGCTTACCTATTTGGGAGATAAAAGGGATAATGTTTTGTTATGTTTATTTGTAAAATAAAACAATAGATGTAGATTAATTGACTAGTTCTTTATTGCAACACCTTAAAAACAATATTTCAATGCAATATTGCATGTCACAAAATTATGATAATTTATCGAAATGCGTGTCTAACCGATAATTAATTGTTTTTTGTAAAGGCAAATTGAAATATAAAAAACCAAGTACAAACTGACCGCATTCCTAAAGAAATAAACGAAATCCTGCAATATGAGGTCAGTTTTTCTTTATTGCATGCCACATTACTGTGTGACGACGGTAGAGTAGAATACATTTTAACTATCCATACTGTTCCCGCTGGTGTCATTTGAGACGGCAAAAGGGCTACAGGTTTACCACAGATGGGGCCCAGTAGGGCTGATGCCCTATACGGAACTGCGGAAGGCCTAAAGGGTTGCCGGGGCTCCGGCTCGAAGAGCAGGTGTAGGAACAGGGTGGTTTTTACTCAGTAAGCGTCTGACTCTTCTGGTGTTGCGGGTGTCCACGGGCGGCGCTGATCGCTTACCATCAGGTGATCCGTCTGCTCGTTTACTCCTATTCTATAAAAAAAAAAGACTCCACACACATACACCCTTTCGCGAACTAATCAGGAGAAGTCAATGGATGATAGTCTCCCTTCATAAAGAAAGGGGGAGGCTACAGATTTGCCAAAGAACGGGCAGCAGCGCTCTCGGATAAATTCGAAATTCGAACTGCGATCTGCAATCTTCTCCCGAAGCGTGAAGATTATGGCAAATTCTCGTGTGCTGAGGAGGTCTATGGGCCTCCACAGCCAGTGCTGGACTATGGTTCAGCATTGACTGCTAATGTGTCCATTTACAAGAAACTCTTTGCCATTAAACAAATAGATTACCTAGTCCCATGAGTCCCATTTATTAGCTTTTTTGACAGACTAGCTACTTCCGCGCGGTTTCAAACGCTCTGCTAAGCTCCTATTGGTCGTAGAGTGATGTTTAATAGCATATAGCCATCCTCAATAATTGCGCTACCCAACACAAAAAGAATTATTCAAATCAGATTTGTAGTTACAGAGATTAGCGCGTTTAAACAAACAAACAAAAAAAAACAAACTCTTCCGCTTTATGTCATAATATAAGATTATAAATAAACCACTTTTTTGCGGGCTATCCGTATTTCACGTGACTTATAAAATTACTAGTTAAAAGTATCTACTTTTCGCTGATCATCATCTGCTGATATTACGTATTTTGTCTTATAAAATTACGTAGATTAAAGGGTGCAGACGTGATGTATAAAACCAGCTTAATATCTTATTGACAACCTTTGACTAACCTTTTAAACTGGATTAGGTAAATAATGCTTAGGCTCAATGATCAGACGTCGCGTCGCAATACTTCCGTGTGTAAGCCCCTGTGTGGCTTCCTAGGAAACCTAATGGGGCATACACGGTGAATGACTATCATTGCCGTTATTGTACTTATTTATTTATGTAAACAAAACCTTCTAATCGTACTATACATAGCCGCGGAGGAATCAACGGGTTGCCTGGGCTCCGGTTTGAAGGGCAGGAGTAGGAACGGGGTGGTTTTTAGTCAGTAAGAGTCTGACACTCCCTCCCGTCCCCACCTCACCCAGGCGGGAGAACTCATTCGAGATTCGATGATAAAAAAAACCTGCTATACATGCGGAAGTTAGTATGTTTATTTGTTTAAGGACCAACAGATATGTATCATCAACAGCCTATAAGTGGCCACTGCTGACCAAAGGCCTCTTTTCACAGCGAGAAGGTTTGAGCATTAATCACCACACTTGTACAATGCGTATTTCAAACTTATAATTAGATATTATAAGCCCAGGTTTCCTCTCGATGTTTTCGTTCACCGTTTTTCAATGTTGTCTAAATAATCTTACGGCCATTTTCTATAACCTATCTATCTATATATTTGCTTACTAGAGATAGAATTTTGACATAAGCTCCATACAAAATGTGTCAAAATTCTATCTCCATAAGAAAATCTACAGATAGATAGGTTAGAGAAAATGACCGTTATAGAAAGTACATTATCTTAGAAAAGTCATATTGGTAGGTACTTGTCGTTGGTAGGTTTCGATTCGAACACACACCCCTCATGCATGTGAAGCGGGCGTCTTAAACCTCCCAGCCGCCACGACATACAGATATAATTTAAATCATGAATCTTGTAACACGGTGCCTATCATTAAAGTGTATGTCTAACGTTTGAAAGATGAGCACAGTCACCGTCGCGTGACGCCCCACTGGTTCACGCTAATTGTAAACCGCACCTCGTTACTTTTCACACTTGGTGTTCAATTAGTTTTATTCTATTTATAACTTTCATACGCCATTTTGATTATAATTATAGTGCACTCTGAAGAAAATGATATGTTGCTATTATTATAACATCATCACGCTTTTTTATCCCCGAAGAGCGCACATTGCGCCACTTAATGCCACTGTACAATGTAACACCCACTTTTTACTATTTATGTTATGAGTCCCATGTAATAGGAGGTGGGAAATTTTGAAAAACCTGGTAATACTTTGCCCGACCCGGGAATCGATCCCGACACCCCTTGCCCGGCAGTCGCACTTGCGATTAATCGGCTAACGAGACAGGCAGTGTTGCTATTTTTGTGGTTAGGAAACCTACTACAGGATTCTTGCAATCGACAATACCTAAGTTAAATTTGGCAATGTTGGCTCGTTATTGGCTCCTAACCACGTGCGTAAATATTTTAATCTGTATATTATAATATAATACGTAAAGCCGGGCAATATTTTATGGTTTGAATTAAACGAGTTTTATGTTTTATAAGTATATGTATATGTAAGTTCACCCCATATTACGTGGAACTTGGCATATTTGGAATGTGTGTTATTCAGCTTAGTCATGCTTTTTACCGTCCCTTGTCACCATTTATGTTATTTCTTCTTTTGTTTTTCTATGATAAAAGGCATATAGTTATTTTATTCATTGACCCCGAGACAATAGCGAGAAAAAAACATATTCATTTACAAATAACAATGAAAATATGAATCATAATAATTTTATGAGTACATTAGGTATAGGTTCACAGATTTTAGCAAACTGACTCATTCCGCTTCAATTATAATGAAATATTTGATTCTGTTCCGTCCACAAACCTGTTTGCTTCCGGCTGGTACAAAAGCATCGCATCGCATTGTCCCATAGTACAATTATTGTACACGCCAGCACCTCAACCTACCTCATATTGCCCAAATTCTTCATAACATTTTCGACCTTATGTAAAGTCGTAATCACTTTGATGTATCTTCATGTGCTACCGCCTGTACATATACGCCCCATGACCATGACACCGTATCACGGAAGGAAGAACTGGTTTAAATCACAGAAGATAGCGGAATAGATTTAAGGGGAGTTTTTATACAATTGTAAAGAGATTCTTGACAGATTTGAGTTTTCCCACAAATGTACCTTTGTCTATTTTGGGATTTTTTTTGTTGTGTTCGATATTTGACATTATTTTATTTGATCTTTGTCGCCTTAGAACATTCTGCCCTGCGGGGTTATTATGACGTCCTAAAAAAATGGTTCCATTCCATTGAGGGACAGAAACAGAGCTATGTATATAGGTAAGTCGTCTAGCGAGATCTCGTTCCCTTAACTGAACCACTCTGGCTGTAAGACATCATAATACGCCACCTGAATTCTATCAAACTGCCAATCCGAGAAAGCGAATCCTATTTTAGAATTCATACAACAGATGAGAGTTTCAATATAGTATTTATCTCCTAAGAATTAAAGTAATAGTTTAGCCCACATTAGACTAGGCAACATCGTTTAATCTTCACAAGTCAAACCCCAGTTTTGGTGTTACATATTACAAAGAAATTTCCAATTCGATGATCAATGCTGATACTTTTAGTGCAGTAACTAACCGTTAGATATTACGCGGTTATTAAATAAACCAATAGTAGGTAATACTATTATACTTTAATTCTAATGTAGACAATTTAGTTTCCTTATGGCATCGAGCATTTCTTTCTTTATTGAAACAAAGAGTTTCCTCTTTCTTGTATAGAAGCACTATTTCTATGGATTGTTAGTATGCATTGTGAGCACCATGATAGACTATAAGATTTTTATTATTTTAGTGAGTTATTAGTATATTACGTCAAGCGTGTCTTTGCATTGTTCTTACGCGTACAATATTGATATCAATATTCTACTTACTGAACATACAACATTAAAATTTTGCCAACAGTTTTTGTCGCATAAACCGCTGTTCTCTTTCAACTTGTGGCACAAGTATTCACGCGCGCACTGATGCATTGCAGTACGGATTTGTGGCAATGATCCCATTAGAATGAATGCAGCTTACATTGTAAGGGCATCCACTATCGATTCTGTCGATACTTTTATGTTTTTCTTTTCATAGGTATAAGTACCAAGATACAGCAACAAGGGTTGTTCCGTATTCATCCTATGACGTCTCATCCTACTCATTATTTTTTCCTTACTCAACCTATTTATGTTCCTTACTCAACCCAGAACAATAATATTATTAAAAAAATCTTTATTTATCCCATCCGTATTCCTTGCTCAACCTATTGTAAAACTACCTAATAAAACGTTAGATTTGTGTGTACGGTCTGAACAAAAATATATTTCTTGGAAATATTTTAAAAGGTAAGCTTTTGCTTTTATGTTGTTCTATTAAATAAAACTGCAGGAAATTTGATAGAATCATATATTTAAAAAAATATCATCACTCCTATCTTCTGTTCTCTGTTCTCACATACATAATTATAGCTTTTCAAATAACTAAAAAACGTTTTTTTTTTTATAAAATCAACTATAATGAACAAAAATATTTTAAGCAAACATTTCACAATCAACAATGTTAAATCTTCTTTCATTATTATGTTATTACTAATTCAAAAATGTACATTACCATTTTTTATTTTTTTAATCCTAGAAAGTCGTTCTATTGAAGGCATAGATACATATTAATTTTCTGCAAGAAAATAAGTATACGTTTGCTATCCATACCTTTTTGGTATTATTTGCTTCGAGACGAGTACGGAATGCATTTGGGTTGAATTAAGAAAATATATTAAAATAATTTAATGGGTTCAGTAAGGAATATTAGTTTGGGATGAGTAAAGAAATGGGATGAGACGTCATAGGATGAATACGGAACAACCCAGCAACAAGCCTCCCTGTTTTACGACGACTAATAATCAGACTAATAATTGATTAATAGGTACTGCTTCGTTGGCTGAGTAGTCGCAAGTGCGACTGCCGGCAAGAGGTCTCGGGTTCGATTCCTGAATCCGGCAAAGTATTGCTGTGTTTTTAAAAAAATCTCGGTAGTTGCTTGGAGTCTGGAAATGTGACCGGTATATGGCAATAGGCTCAGCCCCTATTACATGGGGCTCGTAACATAAATAGTGCAAAGTGGGTGTCACATTGTACAGTACAGTTATTAACCACAACGGTATAGACCCCAGTTGCATTTTCATTTTTATTTCATTCAACCTAAAATGCAGCTGAGGTTTAGCAATACACGTAAATTTATTTCATTCAACCTATACTAGTACATAAATAAACCAACTATTGGAGAGGAAGTTTGGGAGTACCTACCTACAGTAAAAATATAAGACCAGACTTGAGTCACACACTAATGAACTGGCAAGAGACCTACTCAAAACAGATGACACCTTTGCACGGCTAAAACGTTTGCAAATATTGCAACTGGATGAGAGATCCTTATTTTTTTTTTTACCACGACGGTGGCAAAAAAAGCACACGGCCCACCTGATGGTAAGCGCCTTACATGCGCCTTGCCGACCCTTAATATCAGGCTCTTATTTAGGAAACTATTAGAAAGTTTCTAATTCTAATAGAAACTAAAGGTAAAACAAAATTTTCAGCATTTATTATATTTGTATAGTCAGATATAATATACTTACTTACACTGTTCACCTAATCCTTAATGAGTAGCAATAGTTATTCACTGAGTAATACTGGTTGTAGTAAATTACATTGAATCATTGAAATGTACTGTTGTCATTGTCTGTGACCCCAGTACTTCGTATTAGGAAACTTGCGCTCATACCGACAGACAAAGTTCTTACCGTGGGATTTATATGACATTATAATAAATGGAGTAAAGTTTTTTCTTACATTGTTTTTTTTTGGTAAACGAGCAGACACGGTAAGCACCTGAGAGCTTAGTACGAGTTAGTTTTATTATCGAAACGAGAACGCGTTCGGTGTTTTGATTGGTTAGTTCATTGGCACCGGCCAATCACAGCGCCAAACGCGTACTCGTTTCGAATACTTTAAATAAACGTAAATCAAACTATCAACTAAGGCCTCTGATGGTAAGCAATCGGCGTCACCCAGGGACACCTGGAACATCAGAGGCGTTACAAGAGTTACCAGCCTTTTTGGGATTAGGAATTTAAGGATTGTTGGTGATTCAGGGATTAGGGAAGAGGGGGGGGGGGAGTAATTGGACCTCAGACAACGTCACTCACACAACGAAACACAACACAAGCGTAGTTTCACGTCAGTTTTTCTGTGAGGCCGTGGTATCACTCCGGTTGAGCCGGCCCATAAGTGCCGAAGCATGACTCTCCCACACTTAACAATTACATTTAAAAACAATTATTATAAATAGCCGTTGAAGGGCAAAACTCAAGAGATAGGTACTATTTCCTTTTTTCCTCCTTTTCACTCTCCTTGGTTTTATTTGATTGAGGTAACTGACCTTTCCTCTCCTGTATAATATTGTTTACTAGCGACCCGCCCCGGCTTCGCACGGGTGCAATATGCATATATTATACATACAAACCTTCCTTAAGAATCACTCTATCTATTAAAAAAAACCGCCTCAAAATCCGTTGCGTAGTTTTAAAGATCTAAGCATACATACGGACATACAGCGAAAGCGACTTTGTTTTATACTATGTATTGATGACAAATCTTTGCAAAATATATCAACTGGACTGGACTGAATGTCCAATACCTATATTCCATCAACTTCTTTTCAGCTTGCTAAGACATCTGTTTATGTACTCCATCGGATGCTAATTATTTTCATTTATAACATAAATAACATCACGCCTTTTATCCCCGAAGAGGTACGCAGAGGTGTACATTATGCCACTGTAGTGTACAATGTAACACCCACTTTTCACCATTTATGTTGTAAGTCCCATGTAAGCCTATGGGTGTAAAGGTATGGGTGTGGGTAAGGGTGAAATGGGGGTAAGGGTGAGCCTATTGCCATATACCGGGCACAATCTCAGACTCCGTGTTACTACTGATAATTTTTTTAAAACCCAGTAATACTTTCCCCGACCCGGGAATCGAACCCGAGGCGGCAATCGCACTTGCGACCACTCGGCCAACGAGGCAGTCATTTATAACAAAATAACTGAATCTATTTTTTTTAATTTCCAGGGGACAGTTTGGAAGAACTGAACGGGTATGGGACGATGCGACCAAGGAATATCATCTCCTCGATACTGAGCGGCACACCGGCTAAGAACAAGGGCCTCGCTATATCCAACCCACACGATTTTAGAATGGTGAGTGATAGAGTGGCAGCTATTGTTTATTTACTTTTTTTACACTTTATAGGTCGACGTTTGACCACCATCTCGCCTGATGGTAAGCGATGATGTGGCCGACGATGGAGCACGCCTACCTATGAGCAACCTGTTCACTCGGGACTTGAAGACACCCAAGTCATATTTGACGGGAAACACAGCGTCTGGCAAGGAATTCCATTCCTTAGCGGTTCGCATGGGGAAGCTTACTTAGATTTACTTGTTATACTTGGAAACTTTCAAATCAATACTTTGAGATAACAACAATAAGAGCCCGTGGTAGTTAGGTTGAAGTATGGTCCTCTTCTACATACGAAGAGCTTGTCAAAATCTTCACACATGGCCGAAGAGTTAAAAATTCCTATTTGAAAGTTCCGTATAATATTTTGTTAGTGCCTATGCCAGTAGGGTAGATGCCTAATTTTTATTTTAATTTCCGTCCGGTAGATTATTTTAAATCATTAGACATGTATTTTTTATTTTCTTACAGAAACGAATACTTTCGACTATATATTGATTTGAAATGTCGCGTGACGTCACTTCTATGTACATTTTATACGTAGAAATGACGTTTTAGCCCCCACTCCTAAACTTTGATTCGTTTTATCCAAGTATTGTTTTATTATACGACAAAATAAAAAAATACGTGTCTAATATTTTTTCATTACCTAATTTACGGACTAATTATATTTTTAATTTTCATACCCTGTCATCACCTCAATCTATACTAATATCTATACTAATACTATAAAGCTGAAGTGTTTGTTTTTTTGTTTGTTTGAATGCGCTTATCTCAGAAACCACTGGTCCGATTTGAAAAATTCTCTCTGTGTTGGATAGCCCATTTATCGAGGAAGACTATAGGCTATAAAATATCACGCTACGATTAATAGGCGCCGAGCAGAGCGAGTGAAACCGCGCGGAAGTAGCTAGTTGCCATATACTGGTCAGGTTCATATACAGCAGTGGCCACTTATAGGCTGTTGATGTGTTTTTGTATATTTGATGGGCCGACGTTTGACCAGTTTCGCTTGGTGGTAAGCGACGATGCGACCTACAATTGTGCACGTCGTCCCATAAGCAATGAAGGGATCCTCGATGTGTGACGTGATATACTGGACATACCCTGATTTACCCTGTCATGTATAAAGAAAAACCCTGTGATCTCGCTTGGCAGCAATAATATAATATTGTTTAATTCTAGGTATCAGCAATTATCGACGTAGACATAGTACCCGAGACGTGCAGGCGAGTCAAACTCCTCAAGCATGGTTCGGATCGACCGCTAGGATTCTTTATCAGGTATGCACTTTAAGCTATTGGCATAAAGCTCTTTATAATATAAATAATTTGGCTTTCATTTCTTTCAGCGATGGTACTCCATATTCAATGGGTTTTTTTTACTGCACCTCTATTCACTGCATATCAAAAAAATGACTGAACTACAAATTAACTACATATTACTCACCGTAAAACAAAAATACTGATTTGCACACAAATTGTTCAATATTACAACGGAATTTCCTTTTTTATTAACAAAAGGGAATTTACAGTTAAAGTATTAAATACCACCCATATTCAAGTGAGAAGAGGCGTTTGGTCAGCAATAGCCACTTATAGGGTGTTGATGTGATTCAAAATCAAAGGGATTTGTTTATTAAACACAAGTAACACAACGCGTTAAATATTACGATGTTATTTAAACATTATTCTAAATCGTTTTTCCAGGGACGGAACATCAGTCCGGGTGACTCCAAACGGGGTGGAGCGGTCCCCGGGTATCTTCATATCCCGCCTGGTGCCTGGCGGACTTGCGGAGTCCACCGGACTATTGGGGGTCAACGATGAGGTGCTGGAGGTCAACGGCATTGACGTGTCGAATAAGACGCTAGATCAAGTAAGTAACCTTTTTTTTTAAGGGGGGAAAATCATCGAATGACTGCTCCCGCCTGGGTGAGGCGGGAGGGAGTGTCAGACTCTTACTGACTAAAAACCACCCCGTTCCTTCTCCTGCACGTCGAGCCGGAGCCCCGGTTACCCGTTAGGTTCTCCGCGACAC